CAAATTCCTTCAATAATTCTCTACCTCGAGTGGCTCTTGGGTCTTATACAGGGTGAAGAGTAGTAAAAGTTCTAACATTCACAGGCAAGGCGTTCCATGCCACGTACACGGGGGACGAAATCATCTTCACTCGTTAGTAAGGAGAGTCCTCACCGATAGCCTCTTTCCAAGAACTTTCCGCTACTTTATGGAGGAAATGCTTTCCCGTCACACTATTTAAGTCTAAAACGTTAAACGTTATCTTTCCCACATAAACTGCACTTCCCATTTTTCGCACTTACCGCACATACAACAAACTCCACCAGTAACCCTCTACCTTTGGTGGCACTTGGGACTTGTATAGGGCGAATATTAGTAAAAAGAACTTTCGCTGATATAGAAAAAAAATTGCGTACTTCTTGATTACTTTGAGTAATGTTTTCTTGTTTGTTTTATTTTAATCCTTACAATGAAATAAAATTTTCTTCTGACTTGGATGATAATATTAACAGTTTCCTTATAAGGAAATACTCAGCACTCATTGACCGAGGAGCCAGTACTACTGTCAGTTGAAATTTACAAAACCTTTCTATTAAAACTATTTCTTAGTAAAATAGGTTTCTCGTGTCCAGTAGCTGTCATCGCTCTTTGGAGTACTGATGGGGGTTTCTTTCTTAATCTTATGTTTGAAGTAGTGTGGAATGTCAACATATTGATCATGTCGTTATTTTCTCTTCGATTTACATGTGCAATCCATTTTAGTTGTTGCTGTTGTTGAATGTCTTCAGACAATGCGGTTTCTATCATTCGACAAAGTTCTTAGTTCGTGATTCTCTAGCGCCAGTCGACGAGGTTAGAAGATGGATAGTCTTCGCCAAGATCCACAGGTTCCTCTCGCTCAAAACCGTTTCTAACCATTGATCTGAGGAGATGGTAGTATGAGAGGCGCCATACATGACGTTCATATGAAAGTCGCTATCTGACGAGGCTATTTAAGGAGGACTCGAGTTTTTAGGCTAACATTTTAGGCACTATTTACATTATTCGAACTATTGCCCTCATCTTTGTTGCCATATTTATCACAACGTTTCGGCTGTTGTACGCTCCGGCCTTCTTCAGGTGGTTGGAATGTCGAACTGAACACTTTATTTCGCTCGCTGGGGTAGACTGTTCTAGTTCCACGTGCTATATGTAATGGATGTCACTTATCAGTTATCTCCTGTTAATTCACCTCGCCAAGTTCTCCAACGCCTTAACCAGGCATTGAACTCACAAATCACTGGATCTATCCTCTGTGAGATCAGGTTGAAATTATAGACAAAGAACATTATTGGAAAATTCGTAAACTTAAGGAATCAGCACATATGCTAAGCCACAAAAATCTCCTGAGTCGACCAAACACAGAAATTAATACAATATGGGAACAAGTAATAAGGAGTGCCAGAGAAAAGCAATAATAACAACGAAAATTGAAATATGAGCTCTAGTAAAAAATATGCAATCCTAACAGCAAAAATTGCAAGTAATTTGCGATGTTGAGCAAACAATACGGTACTGTCATGTAAAGAATATAGAAAAAAAAATTGAAAATATTCTATTTATTTTCAAATGTTTGTTTTAATGTATAAATCTTTGATACTTTTGATGCAAGATATGCGAATATGTAACTAAATATAGACGCCTCTAAGAATTATATTGACATACAGTGACGTGCCAAACGTCATGTGGTGGTGCCTGCTCTCTGATCTGTCATAACTGTACCCAACGCGAATAATAATAATAATAATAATAATAATAATAATAATAATAAAAAACAAACCAAAAATTCCAAACGCTGTTTATTTATTTTCATGGAAACTTCCCAGAAAAAAAAATCACTTGCTTAACTGTTAAGCTCTCAGTAGCTGAACGCTAAAAGCATGCCGGATGAGAGGGTCGTTTCTCCTGCAAAAGAGGACGCACGTTCAAATTCTGCAGGTGGGCACATTTTCTTTATTAAGTTTTCTCGAGGGCACAAGCCAGTAGACAAAATTAGCAGTGTTAAAAAAAAACAACAACAACAACTAAAGACAAAAAAAAGGTCGTCTACTTAAATAAGGGGGTAAAATTAGCATTTGAAGTAATAAAAAAATGTCAGATTAAAAAATAAAATGCATTGATTCTTTAGAAATATAAAAAGAATATATATATATATATATATATATATATATATATATATATATATATATATATTGAATATATATATATATGTATATATATATATATATATTGAATATATAATACTCTCTCTTCTCTCTCTCTCTCTCTCTATATATATATATATATATTGTATATAAAATATATAATATTCATACTATAAATTTAGCATTGGCGGCCACAGTCTCAACAATATAAGATACACACATGATACAGTACTCATACTGAGACACGGAAGAGAAATTACAAAATCTCCTACAGAAGATAGCGACGGAGAGTGAGAAGAAAGGACTAAGCATAAACTACAAGAAGACAGAATGCATGGTCATCAGTAAGAGGATGAGGGCGAAATGCGATTTGCAGGTCGGGAACACTAGAATCAAGCAGATGCGGAAGTTTAAATATCTGGGAAGCCTCTTGACAGAAGACGGTAAGTGCGACACTGAGATCTGTAGACGCATTGGGATGACCAAAGACACATTCCAAAAGCTGGGCAGAGCATTGCAAGACAGGAGGATCTCTTTTGTAACAAAGAAAAGAGTACTTAGCTGTTACGTGACATCTGTCCTTCTTTACGGCAGCGAATTTCCTCAAAGATGAAGAAGAGACTCGAGGCGATGGAGATGTGTTTCTACAGAAGGATGCTGAGGATTTCATGGACCGAGCGTGTGAGCAACGATGAGGTCTTGGAGAGGAAGCAGACAAGGAAGGGGCTCATGCTTAATATCGGGAAGAGGCAGCTGGAGTTTCTGGGACACATAATGAGGAAGGACGGCCTGGAGAATTTGATACTTACGGGTCGAATAGAAGGATAGAGAGACAAGGGAAAGCAAGGATAGGGTAAACAGGGATGGATAACAGAACGTGGTCAGGAAGAGGTAGCAAAGGGAAGGAAGGAACTTGTTGAGAGCTGCAAGGAATAGAGAGGTGGAGAGCCATGATCGTCTACGTCCCGAAAGGTCATGGCACATAAAAAGAAGAAAGAATACACCTTGTATAGTATATATTATATATACAGGGTGCGATGTGTAAATTGTCGCCATTTTATATTTTTCATTTCGCTCATACGCGTTGATTGTTTTGATTTTATTGACTGCATAGTATTGTAGTATCAGTTGGGCGCTGCCAGGGAGAAAAAAAAAACAGCACTATTGCACAATTCAACTCGCCAGAAATTTGGAAAAGGTATGCTGTACTGCTTGGCATTCGCACCCAAAGCGCCAATACGAACGTTTCAGAGTGTTTGGATGTCAATCTGGTGGTAGTGCAAATGTTTCGAAAGAGTTGAATGAGTTTAATGGTGATTACGAAGGTGTTTGGAGTGATCACAAGTGATGGTGACATTATGCGTCCATTCATCCTCAGACACAGGGCCTCAGACACAACACGGAGGCCTACCTTAAGTGCCTTGAGGAGGTAATGCTGTCCTGGGTCAAGAGGGTGGCTTGAACCTATGTCTGGCAACATGACCTTACGCCATACCACGCATGCAGGAGAACGCAGTCATGGCTGTCAGACAATTTCCTTGACCACATCACACCTTGCATCTGGCTACCAAACTCTCCAGACGGCAAACCCATTGATTATTATGTGTGGGGCACAGTTGAGCGAGAGACCAACAAAACTACTTGTCGTGCCAAAGATGAACTGAAGGCAAGGATTATGGCAGCATTCACTAACTTAAACAAGGAGACTGTCCAGAAGAGTTGCTGGAAATCTCAAAGTCTTCTGGAGGCCATAGTTGAAGGCAATGGCGGCTTTAATGAATAAATTTACTCTTTTTTTGGCGCTCTTTTTCACACAGTCGGTGCCCAACTGACCCTACTATACTGTGCAGTCAACAAAATCAAAAACAAATAACACGCATGCGCGAAATTAAAAACATAAAATGGCGACAATTTACCCATCATACCCTGTATGTATATATATATATATATATATATATATATATATATATTTGATTGGATTGATGTGAGTTTGTGACCCTGGGTTTCACGCTTTTGCGATCGTCAGATCGTTAGCTCTCTCTGATATTGAGCGCTTTCTAATAAGTACCGCGCATATAATATATAAATAATATATATATATATATATATATATATATATATATATATATATATATATATATATATATATATTTATATACACACACTTTTCACACACACACACATATATATATACACATATATATTTATATATATTATGTGAAATATATAAATATATATATATTCTATATATATATATATGTGTATATATGTATATTCTATATATATATATGTAAATATACGTATATTCTATCTATATATATATATTCTATATATATGTATATATATATTATTTGGAAATATATAAATATATTTATTTTCTATATATATGTGTATATATATGTATATTCTATATATATGTATATATATGTATATTCTATATATATGTTTATATGTATGTATATATATATATATATATATATCCTATATAAATGTGTGCGTGTGTATATTCTATATATATGTTTATATATATGTATATTCTATATACATATGTATATTTTATATATATATCCTATATATATATATATATATGTATGGGTGTAGGGAGGTAAGTATGTGGAATAATGTGTATCATACTCGGTAACAAGTTTGGAATGAAACTGAATTAGTAACAGAATATAAATTTTTCTTGCTCGTAAACTTTTAGTTATCAAATTCTGTACAAGTTTGGTTGACTTGTCTTTGTAAATGAATGAAAGATCATTTATTATTTTTGCATAATGTTATCCAATAATCTTGAACTGCTTAGCAACTCATTCTGAACTTGGATTGAAAAATATTCTAATCAGAGAATTGTGAGTATGGTAAACGAAATAATTGCCAATGGGCAAATACAAACAGGTAGGGATAGATAGAAATAAACATAGACAGATAGGAACAGATATAGATAGATAGATAGATAGATAGATATGAACAGACTGAGATAGATAGATATAAATAGACCAACTTAGATAATGAACAGACTGACATAGATAGATAGATAGATAGATAGAATAACAGACTGAGATAGGTAAATAGATCTAAACAGACAGATAGATAGATAGATATGAACAGACTGAGATAGATAGATATAAATAGACCAACTTAGATAATGAACAGACTGACATAGATAGATAGATAGATAGATAGAATAACAGACTGAGATAGGTAAATAGATCTAAACAGACAGATAGATAGATAGATATGAACAGACTGAGATAGATAGATATAAATAGACCAACTTAGATAATGAACAGACTGACATAGATAGATAGATAGATAGATAGAATAACAGACTGAGATAGGTAAATAGATCTAAACAGACAGATAGATAGATAGATATGAACAGACTGAGATAGATAGATATAAATAGACCAACTTAGATAATGAACAGACTGAGATAGATAGATAGATAGATAGATAGATAGAATAACAGACTGAGATAGGTAAATAGATCTAAACAGACAGATAGATAGATAGATATGAACAGACTGAGATAGATAGATATAAATAGACCAACTTAGATAATGAACAGACTGAGATAGATAGATAGATAGATAGATAGAATAACAGACTGAGATAGGTAAATAGATCTAAACAGACAGATAGATAGATAGATATGAACAAATTGAGATAGATAGATATAAATAGACCAACTTAGATAATGAACAGACTGAGATAGATAGATAGATAGATAGATAGAATAACAGACTGAGATAGGTAAATAGATCTAAACAGACAGATAGATAGATAGATATGAACAGACTGAGATAGATAGATATAAATAGACCAACTTAGATAATGAACAGACTGAGATAGATAGATAGATAGATAGATAGAATAACAGACTGAGATAGGTAAATAGATCTAAACAGACAGATAGATAGATAGATATGAACAAATTGAGATAGATTTGAACAGCGTGTGACAGATCGATACTAATGAAATGCTACAAAACTCTATTCTGCCTGTGGAAACAACTGGTAGCCACTGTGAATGGACAGATACAAACAGGCAGAGATAGATAGATATGAACATAGATAGGTATATAGATAGATATGAACAGAATGAGATAGAAAGATAGATATGAATAGACCGAGTTAGATAATGAACAGACTGAGATTGATAGATAGATAGATAGATAGATATGAACAGATTGAGGAGATAGACAGATAGATAGATATGAACAGATTGAGATAGACAGATAGATAGATACGAACAGATTGAGATAGATAGACAGATAGATAGATATGAATAGATAGAGATAGATATGAACAGACTGAGATAGATTTGAACAGAATGTGATAGATAAATAGAAATGAAATGCTATAAAACTATTCTGCCTGTAGAAACACGTGGTAGCCACTGTCAAGGAAATCAAGTTAAAATGGTACGGGTATATCAAAAGAGCGAATAATCTTTCCACTACCATCCAACAATGTTTCATGTAGGCAGTCACTGAATGGTAGACAACTGGTTAGAACGCTGACATCCTGTGTTGAGGGGCTATGTTTGAACCCCTTGTCGTGGAATTCTGGATTGTGAAGTCAGTTGAACGTATGCAAGAATTGGAAGAATGAAGACGTCTTGCCGCATGCAT